GATTTAATACAAATTTATTACCAAAAAACAGTGGCTATCAAATGAATGCATAAAATGTAATCTTTTAAAATGTAATCAAATGATAATTAAACTATTCTTTTTAAAATATAATACCTTTTAAATTAGCAATACCAACAGAAGTTCACTGTTCAAAGCATGGACAAAAAAGTTGTAATATTGTGTGATATTCCTTAAAAAATGTTTAGATTATTATTACATTCTACTGTGCAATATATTTCTGTCATAATTTATTTTAGTTCAGTAGGTTGTTGTGAACACCTAGAGTGTGTGTATCTGATGATAGTTTTCTAAAATGAAACAGCGAAACTCTGGTCAAGTGAACTCTCAGAGCAGCTCTGGAGATGAAGTTCTTGTGTTCATGTCTTCATATTGTGAGACGACAGACACTGAAACACCACAAGCGTCACACATGCTTGAATATGTGTGAAGTAGACAAAACAGCGCAGCAGAGACACGCAGAACATGCAGACTTCATATTTAAATAGCAGTCTTTTGCAGGTTAATATTCACAGACACTAGTTCACATCACAATTTGATTAATTGTACAGCTCTACTTTTGATATATTCATCCAAAATTTGGCAAATTCTGTGACAGACAAGTAATTACACAAATCAAAATATGCTGAGGAAACCCCCCAAATTAATTCAAATACATTATTGTGACAATATTATTTCACCTACACTAAGGTTGTTAAAAAAAAGTAATATACAAGAACTGCAAGGCTATTTGTAACAGGAAATATTTATTAATTGTGCATCATGTCTTGGAGGAGAATGAGGTGATCCATTTTTACCAGAACATACAGTATGACTCATATTATGTGAGTCAGCAAATCCATACCTGCTGACTACAAATTTATCTTGTGACCAAATGTACGCTGCCAGTTTGGCCCGTTTTCTATCTTTCACCTGAGCTGTGACTGAATGAGCATCAGCATAACACTTTCCAGGCATTCGTTCTCATTCACAAAGTGACAGGAAGTCATGTTCTTTTCTGCCAGATGTGGATATTAGCTGAAGGAATGAACAACAGCTGAATTTACTGTAAGCAATTAAAGAGTAGATACTTTATATGGTGGTTCATTTGTCAAAATGAGAAGAAAACACATTCTTTAAATATATATTACTAATGCATCACATAATAATAATCTTCATTAATAAGATTATCAAACATCATTACTATATGTTATGCTTTTAATCATTTACTTATGTTGTTTCAAACTTTTATTTCTATAGAACCTAAAAGGAGATGCGGGTGAGTAAATATTAACAATTTATTTTATATTTGTTGTTTTGGGGTGAACTATCCTGTTTAAAGATTAGTTAATGAATATTTTACTAGTTAGAAATCACATTAAACTGACTACTCTTCAAAAGTTTGGTGTCAGTAAAATGTCTCTTATGCTCACCAAGGCTGCATTTATTTGATCAAAAATAATATTGTGAAATATTATTACAATTTTAAAATTTGTTTTCTTTTTTATTACATTTCAAAATGTAATTTATTCCTGTGACGCAAAGCTGAATTTTCAGCAGTCATTACTCCAGCCACATCACATGATCCCTTAGAAATCATACCTAAATTCTGAATATGGTGCTCAATAAACATGTCTTATTATCAATGCTAAAAATGGTTTCTTTTGTAGCATTGTAAACATCTCACTTTTTTTCACATCTCACATAATTTCTTTTAAAAAATTAAATGTACTGACCCCAAACTTTTGTACTATGGTGTACATTTTATATTTTATTATTTATTAATTCATTACTTAAATAATAATTACTTATTAGTGAATACTTACATTCACATTTTATATTTTACTCATTTAACTTTCATTTAAAATTTAAATACACAAACTAATGTTTGTGCAGTTAAATGAACATACTGAACTTTACATGCTGTTTCTTATTGTCCAGCTGTCACCAATTCATCTTTGTTCACTGTTTTATTAATGTAATATCCTTTCTTCAAGTGTGAATTACTAGATGTATGCCATGAACTGTATATTATCGCACACAGCAGTGAGGTGTGTTGTTCATATGCGTGCTGATTTATTAAAAAAAAGCATGCTGTATGCCATCTTACACAGGTGGCGAAGTCCTCTATTCAGCACAATTCATAAGGAGTGTGCTGTTGCACAGCAGAGATCTTTGTAATATTTTCCATTTTCCTCTCACGGAAGGCGCACACTCTGACTCTTCAACCTAAACACCGTCCTTCAACATTGTGATGCACTCAATTTATTCACTGAAAAAAATGCAGCCTTCTGCTGAATTTGTATTTCTGAGGGAAGCTGATGAGGAGGGGGAACATTCCCTATATCAGGCATATATCCCTATAACATTCCCTATATCTCAACAATGGGAATGCCACAATGATGAATGAGACAGAGGTTTTAAGGCCGGCTGCCTCAGAGGCAGATACATCAGCAGCTGGAGCTGCCTCGAAACATTTTTTTCACTGATTAGGGACACAAATATTGTGTCATTATAGCCAATAATCTTTTTGTGCACTTACACTGACGCATTCATATGTTCAAATTTCCTGCTTGTGTCTTGTGAAACTGTATAACAGTAAAAAAATCACAGGTTATTCACATATGCCAAAGGACGGTTTTGACAGCTTGACAAAAACCGAGGCACCAAACCCATGTGGTGTCCAGTTATCTCTCACCAGGCAGATTAAGTCATCTCTCTCCCAGCAGATGGGCATATCATTTCCCTAATGCTACGTGTCTCCGGACCACATGGACCTCTCAGTTAATACACGCTTCCAATCCAACACACAAAAGCATTAGCTAAAAAGCAGCCATGAAAAAATAAAAAAAATCAATGGCGCACAAATAGCAAGTAGATGCAATATGTATTTTTGTAACACGGATATGACATTTAAATGTGCATCAGTGAGGGGTTTATATAAGCAACAAAATATATTTAAAAGTTAAAGAACATTTTAAAAATTGTCATTATTTACTGAAAAAAGGTATATATTGTAGAATGACCAAGCTGCTCTTTTCCATACAATAAAAGTGAATGGTGATCACAGCCGTCACAGCTCAGCCCCCAATGAGGGTATAATAATAATAAAAAAAAAAAAATTTCACTAATAGGGTAGGATGGTATAGCCTACTAAACTTATTGCGGTATTCCACTGTATTGCACAGATGGATATAACATTTGAGCAATGAATACGCCAAATACAAGTCTTTCCGATCACACAAACACACACCGGTTTACTGTACAAACACAAAATTTTACTGTTTGCATTTCTAGTACAAACCTCTTTCTATGCTCAAGTACTGTCAGTCACTGTCTTTAATCATTTCCGTGCATGACTGTATGGGAGTTAATGCCACATGCACTGTAATATGTTTTATATTGAAAGTTAAATTTTCAAATGAAAATAGCAACATGATAGATGCGATGACAGTAGATGGGAAACCGATTGCACCCCATGACATTTTGTAAACTTTTTTGTTTTTTGACATTTTGTATTTATGACAAAGAACTGCACAGATGCAGATATTATAACAATCTATCGATAAACACACACCTTGTCCTCTGCTTCTCACTCTGCGCCACCGCAGTCTGCGGATTGAAGAACGCGCTGAAAGACGGGGAGGAGCCGAAGTCTGCCGGCGTTTTCATATGAAATTTAAAGGGGACTGAGGCGATCACGAATTCATGTAATTTATGGAGCAAATTGCTACATTTTTAGGGGGGCTGAGCAGAAATTTAAAGCCCCCCTAAAAATGGCCTAGCGACACCCATGGTTTGGAACTACATGAGAGAAAGTAAATGAAATGGTCTTTATTTTTAGATGATCTGTCCTTTTAAATGTGATGTAACCATCTTGTATTGTAAATGCAGTACAAATTTATTTGTTGGCATATTGTAAATAGGAGAGCCATCAAACTGTTTTAATATGCATAAATACAGTAAGGTTTTGCTGACACCATTTTTTCAATTAGATGAATACAAACTCATCAGCTACTTTATGCAAATCCGCTCCCTATGCGCAACACACTTTTACTGGTAATTCAAGATCACTATGGAAACCTTCCATGCTTAATTTACATTCACTTTAATTCACATAGTGAGTTAAATCCCCCAGTCTGATTTCCAGATAAACTAATGCAGTACCACATTCAAACCATACAAAACAAAACACGTTTCACTCAAGGACTCCAGAAAGGCAAGCAGGACGTAAAAAAAGCACGTAACGCTAACAAATGTGTTGCTATATTAATGCTCTACTCAATCGCCAAATGTATTTATTTAACCCAAGCAAAAGGGCCAGTGATGCTCACCGGTTTATAAATGTACCCAGTGGAGCTTCAGATGAAATCGTCACCCTCATAAGTACGACAGACATATAAAGATGGTGTTTTCACTGAGCTGTGGACTGGGAAGGAGCTCTGTCTTACCTTGGTAATTGCAGATGTCTCCCACGCTGTTCTGACGCGTGATGTGGTGCCAGTAAGCGCTTCGCGGGAGAGATATCGACTTTGTTAATGTGCTCTCGTTTGAAAGAGTCTGTGAGGCAGAGCAGAAAATCATTGGGTTACATTGGTTATATTTCCAGTCAAATCACTCGGAAAGGGCTTACACTGAGAAGATTTCAAAGGCCTCGCCTTGCGGTAAACAGCACCTCTCCATTAGGCTGTTTTGAACATCACAGATGACAGGTGGAGTGAGATGTCATTACAGCCTTTTAAAAAGAGAATTTTAAGAGAATTCCGTTAATCCGAACAAATAAAGACTCTTAGCGGGACTCTTGATCAAGATTTCAGAGCAAGCAGCATTTTTGGCAGGGGTCCTGGATGGCAAGATCTGAGCGGAGGGCCATATGGTCAAGTCTCATCAGCCTCCACTGAAGGCCTTAGAGATGACAGCACAGATTCACTGCCAGCAAGGCAGCAGCGCAGTTTAAATAGTGCAGGAAAGACCATCCGCGCCGGGCCATTGAACAATTCATCAACCTCGCTAGCTTCAGGGGGTACGGAGAAATAACCAAAATGTGCTTTCAATGAAACGTTGATAACCAAAATAACATTTTAAGGCATTAGTGTTCAGAAGCTTTGAACACTGAAAAACTCCTGCGGCTGTTATTTCTGTGGTTATCTTGCAACTAAGATGTGTCTCAAATCCATTTACATGTATGCATTTGGTAGATGCTTTTATTCAAAGCGACTTCAGTTGCATTGAAGTTATGCATTTTATCAGTAAGTATGCATGTTCTTGGGATTCAAACTCTTGACCTTGATGTTGCTAACGTCATGCTCTACCAGTTGAGCTATAGGAACACATAAGTGCAGTGTTTTTGAAGGTACTCGACCGATAGTGCAGTTCAGCATTAGTTGACAGCAGCTGCTTTTCAAAGATGCCAGTATTCTGTGACCTGGATTTATGAAATATCACATGCTGTGCACTGTGCAAGCAAGGAAGTGGGAAAACATACTCAGAAAATTGGCAGAATCCTTACGGGGAAGCTGCAACCCTTATATTCAATTATACTGTGCAGTGACAAAAGGTTGATTTTTAGGTTATCTGAACTAAGGCAATAATTAAAAAAAATGCTGTAGACTTATTTAGCATATGTCAATCACTGAAATGATCACATACTGTATAAAATACCATTAAAAACTATGGGGTCAGTAAACGTTCAATGTTTTTTTTAATCTCTTATACTCAAATTAATTATAATACATTTTTTTTTTATATATAGATAGTTAAAAAAGACAGCATTTATTTGAAACAGAAATGTAATGTAACATTACAAATGTATTATATTTAATCAAATACCTCTTTATTTTTTGATCAATTTAATGTATCCTTGCTTAATAATCTTCATTTTTTTCCAGAAAAAATAAAAATAAAAATCTTACTGACCCCCACATTTTGCATGGTAGTGTGTTTTTGAGACCAAACTCTTATTTATGATTTTTTAATTTTTTTAAGGTGATTAAATCAACAGTTAAAGGACAGATGTGTTGAATTCTTGATTATTAATGTTATTATTTTGGCAATTTAAGTACATTAATAATCATAAATTAACCTTACAAAACATGAGTGTGTTTAGAATTTTTATGGAAAATCAGCTTAGAATCACTAACGAAAAGTGAATTTTTAAATGCACTAAAACAGAACATGTCATTCATTCTATAAAATTATATATATATATATATATATATATATATATATATATGTGTGTGCTATTGCTACAAATATATCCCAGCGACTTAAGACTGGTTTTGTGGTCTAGGGTCATATTTGTGAAATAAGCTTGTACTAATATTATGGAATATTAGGAAATACTAAATATGAAATGCCTTTCTCCCCACTGTACCCCCTGTAGAATTATAGGATGTGTACTTTTACTATACCTGTGAGCTCTTCTCCATCTCCATCATCATGCGTTCATGTTGCTCGGCGATGGACAGCGTGGCAGAGTGAACTCTCTGATAGATTATCTCGCCTTCTCTGGTCTGGAAGGTGAACAAACCTTCCCCTGTATCACACATCCTGTAAGAGAACAACACACATGCACACACATCCGTTAAGCAATTATAGCTTCTATTAGTTTTCAGTACACTCATGTTTTTTTCGTAATAGGCTGAACAGCAGGAGTAGACTTTAAGGGCAGCCTGCAAGAGAAAGCATGTGTTAAATGTTGAGCAGAATCAGGACTATTGGATTTAGGATGAAAACATCTTGTCAGACAAAAGCACTCCCAACTAGAATCGAATGATGTTCACACACCTCCCGGACTCAAATGTGAACCAGGTCGAGTCTCTTCCGTATCTCCTCAGGGAGTTGAGCGGCCACATGACCAGCTTGACTCTGGCATTATGGATATCCCAAAGGTAGATGTTCTCGTGGGTGATCTGCATTGTGCACTCCCCGTAGATGTCCAGGTTTGGGGTCGGCATCAAGTAAATATTAAATCTTTCTGGAATAAAAATTAAATACATTTAAAAGTCAGAAGTCCTATAGTTAACTAAAACTAAAACTAAAATTAATATTTAAAAATAAATTAAACATACACTGAAATAAAATATTTTAAAAAGTTTAATTTCAGCCAAGCCATTTCTCATTTTAATTTAGTTAAATTAGATGCACTAAAATGACAAAAACTGAACTAAAAGCTAATAAAACGATATAGACGTATAAAAAATACAAAAATGACAAAAACACACTACAAGAGTACTAAACCTTAAACTAAAATTTAAATGAAAATGGAAAATATAAAAATAAAAACTGATTCAAAACATTAATAAAAACTATAATAGTATCTTATTAATACTAAAGTAAGTATTACAGATTGGAGGTTTGTTGAGAAAAAAATAAAAATAAAATAAAAACAATTGAAACCATTGTATACATTAAAATTAAAAACTTAATTTGATCTCTTCAGATGCAGAAAGCTTTGAACAATGAACAACTCTTGAGGACGTGAGTGTGTTTTGAATTTTGATGGAATAAAAAAAATTGTTTATAAATAAATAAATAAATATACATATATTAAACTTTCATTTCAGCTATTAATTACAAGCATTAAAATAGAATATTAAATTTTAATAACATAATATATAATGTATAAAATATTTATTAAAATTGTGTTCACAACACAACTCATTTTACATCTGTACATGTGACATCTTTCCAAATATTTAAATGGGGGTGAAGTAGAATAGGACCACTAAAAGTGTCTTTTATATATCAGATTCTCGCCATGAAGCTGAAGGTGTCAGGCTGTAAAAAGTGTGTAGTTTTTTTTTAAATATATTTTGATTCAGACATATTTTTCTTCAGAATAACAAGCGCAGATGAAGTGTACCCAATAAACCTAGGAAATTATATTAAGACAGCAGGATGACAAAACTGAACGGTTACTTCAAGTAAATAACTCAGAAAGGTTCAGCCATGTGACATCTTTCCAAATATTTAAATGGGGGTGAAGTAGAATAGGACCACTAAAAGTGTCTTTTATATATCAGATTCTCGCCATGAAGCTGAAGGTGTCAGGCTGTAAAAAGTGTGTAGTTTTTTTTTTTAATATATTTTGATTCAGACATATTTTCCTTCAGAATAACAAGCGCAGATGAAGTGTACCCAATAAACCTAGGAAATTATATTAAGACAGCAGGATGACAAAACTGAACGGTTACTTCAAGTAAATAACTCAGAAAGGTTCAGCAGTCATAGCAGCTTACACTGACAGAAACTGCCAATGTCTTGTGTTAAAGAAAATTCATTACAGGCTAAATCGTTTCTTTAAAAGAAATGTCAATCAAACAGCAGTCTGCAACCTTTTCATATCTGTTAATAATAATTAAACTTGCTTAAAAAAGGCCAACCACTGTGGCGGTGCAGTCCATTCAGCTGTCATATTTACAGACATCTCAAACAGCTTTTATTTGGGCAGCTGAAAGATTCTGCTCTGCCTAAAGATGACAGAATTAAAGGGTACGGCTGGAAATCTCGAGAACATCTCAACAGAGCCATCTAACATGATTATTATTTTTCCGATGGACTATTATCTCTTCTTGCAGATGTGGCTCTTGCAGTGCACAAAGGTCAACAGATTGTTGCCATAGAGCCGCAGTTGAGCCAAACGCAATGGAGTAAGCACACCATCACAATTAGCTCCAAAAAGACAAGGGTGCACTTCATACTCCAAATTAATAGTCCCTAATTATACCTAATGCTTCAAAATAAGTTGTCTCTCCAGAGGAAGAGGCAATTTAATGTGGGGGCTATTTTAGGGATTGTGAAAATGAACTCTGATTTAATTATCGCAGCCCGCCGTTAGAGGGGTCTAATTGAAGCGCAAATGGCAAACTCTCTGCTTGTTATTCCTCAGCTGTCGAATAGTGGAGAAACGATAATTTTGCTGACCTCCAGCTGATATAATCATATACACATTGCGCTCTCGTTATGAAAACAAATCTATATTTGCCTGTCATTTGATTGAAACAAATTTGATGACCACTCTATATGGTGTCTGCCGCAGCTTAATGCTTGAATGCTTCGGCAGCACTTGGAGATTACCTGATATTGATTTTCTGAATTAGGTTTAAAAAAACACTCACATAAACACAGACACAACTCAGACCATCTCAGACTGAAACAATCTGATCTTGGAGGAGATGCAGTTGCCTTAAAGTAACAGTTCTCAACTTGAGGGTCGGGACTGTTCTTATAGTCACAGAAAACATTATGCTTAATTTTAAATCTCTCGGGAATAAAAAGTCATAAGCAAGCACTGCAGATTTTTGCAGGCTTGTTGAAATAAAATACAATACTTCATTTGATCTTATAAAAAATTACATTTGTTGTTTTATTTGCAATAACAACATGCAAATAATGTGACAAGATAATACATAATATACATTACTAATAATCTATAATATATTTACTGAAATTCAATAGTGCTTGTTGCTCAAGACTGTTCTTATAGTCTTTATTTATTATAATTAAATATTATAAATATTTGATATTATAAAGTTTTTATATTTAATATAAAATTCTAATATATATATATAATATATTCTAATATATATATATAATATATTATAATATATATATAGTATATATATATATCCATAAACTAAATAATATATATTTATATATAATGAAAAAAAATATATAAACCTAATTAAAAAATAAAAATAAACATAAGCATGAGTACTTAAGAGTTTTTAATTTTTTTTTAAAGTTTTTAAAAATATATTTTTTTAATTATTTAAAAAATTAGGATAAAATATTCCTCATATCATTTTGTTGTTGAGGAAACTCTCATTTTGCTGTATTTTGATGCAAATTCACCTGCCACTTGGTAGAAACTAGCCAAAGAAGGCAGATGCCAACATCAAGTGCTCAAAACAATGAACAATTCTGGTACTGTTTTGGGTTGTCACCTGATGTCCAATGTAAAATCTGAAGTGAAACCCTTTTACAACCAGTGCTTTAATTTTACTGTTTGGCCGCACGTTGCCTCATTCATTCTAGATCAGGGATGGGCAACTTTGATAGTGATGAAGGCCAGCATTTTTTCTCCGTTATACCAAGGGGCCAGATTACTAATCCACGTCCACACATCTTTTACACCGTCTTACTCAATTTTTCTTTTATCGAAGGAATTTAAAGTATAATCAATGTAATTTGGTTTTAAAGATTTTATTAACTATAAAACTTGTGCAGTTAAGCTAATTCAGAAGGGAAACTTTGTTGTCAGTTGACAGCAATATTAAGCCAATGTAAACATCTCAATTGCATTGTCTGTAAATTTGCAACAAACAAATGTACAGAGGTCCTGTTTTTTTATTAGTGGCCTACAGAACATTCTCAAAATAACCTAAGAGGACAGTTAAAAAGGGCTTATTCAAAAAAAAAAAAAGTTATTCCAAATGGTACCATAAAATAACCGGGTATCTGCAGGATTTTTAAAATCAAATTTAAGAGCTTCAAAGACCTTTTAAGACCTGCACTTCACATTTCAGCCTTTAAACAATTTTTAAGAAAAGGGATGAGTCAAAAGTATCAATTATTAGGCTATATTAATGTAAACAATTATTAATCAATTATTATATTAGGCTAAATAACATATAAATATATCTTAGTGTCTTAGTTGTTTAGATTTTTATAATGCATTAGATTTTTGTCGATCCACGGGTTCACATTTAAAAATATGTAGCAAAAATATCAGACGGGCTTATTGAAAATGAAAATTCGTTCCATGCCAGCAGGTTTCACTTTCAGAACGGCGGAAATATAGCGGATTTCCAAACAATCCAAACATATGCGTATTCCCTTTAACTTGTTAAAAAGATAATCTGTTTACCATCTTGAGTGGAAGATACTGTTTTCATGATCAGTTTTTCATTTATTATTTGCTTACGTTAGTGAATGTTTACATCTGTGCTGAAATTAATACGGGGAGCGGCTGGAAACTAGCAATGATAAAATTTATCATCCGAGTCTAATATGATCCAGCGGGCCGTACTAAAAGACATTGAGGGCCGTATACGGTTGCCCATCCCTTTTCTAGAGGGAAATAGAGGTCCGCTACCCGACCCAGGCCTGACGGGTCCCGAAATACTCTCAGGTTTCGGGTTGGGTTCGTGTTAATGTTTAATGAATAGCTTCAGGTTCAGGTTTGTAGCTAAATTAAAACTATATGTAGTAGGCTACGCTGCTTTCACTGACGCACACACACACACACAAACACACAAACTTTTCTTAATAAAATAGGATCTCGCCATGATTTCCTTGTGAGGTCTGTGACTCCATTGCAGGATAATGATTATATCCCGGTCATATCACCACTCTTCCATCGGATCAAATGGTAAGAGTCGGAGCATCAATTTTGGAAATATCACTTTGCTCAAACACGCACCTCTCAGCGGTCAGCCTGTACTACTACTGCTAAGATGGCCTTAGTGAATGCTAGGTCAATATCGAATAAATCTTTTATTCTAAATGACTTACATCGCATTCATTAGACTTCTTATTCATTACTGAGACTTGGTTAAAACACGGTGACTTGATGCCTCTTGTTGAGATTGCTCCTCCAGACTGTGCATTTTTTTAGTTCTCCACGGGCCTCTGGACATGGTGGTGGGGTTGCAACAATTTTTAGAAGCTGTTTTAAATGTAAGACTGTGCCCACTGATACTTTCTCCAGTTTTGAAGTCCAGCTATTGAAGGTTGATGTAAAGGGGCCTGTACTATGTGCTTTGGTTTACAGACCCCCTAAATGGAATAAGGATTTTATTTGTCAATTTTCTGATTTTCTGTCTGATCTGGCGACTCGGGCTGATAGATTACTAATAATTGGGGATTTTAATATTCATTTTTGTTGTCCTTCGAAACCATTGGTCAAGGAATGTGTAACTCTTAGAGTCACTGAATATTGAACAATATGTATGTGGCCCAACTCATAATTTGGGTCATACACTTGACTTGGTGTTGTCCCGTGGCCTTTTGATCTCAAACATGGAGGTTATTGAGGCATGTGTGTCTGATCATTATCCAGTTTTGTTTGAATCTGAATGCTTTTCTCCATCACCTACTTTCGCTCATCATTCACATTTGTCTAGAGTTATTAATTCTAACACTGCAAATTTGTTTTCTGGACATTATTCTTTACATGTTACCAGTAATATCCTTAACGAAACTGATTTTATAAAGCTTGTTCTACATCTTTGGACACTGTTGCTCCGCTTAAGCATAAAAGGGTAAAGGGTGTTGGCCAGCCATGGTTAAATGAAACCACCCGCGCTCTTAGACAAGAGTGTCGAAAAGCAAAGCGAAAGTGGAAAAAAGATAAGCTACATGTTTCCTTTGATATCTTAAAGTTAAGTCTCTCTAATTATCAAATAGCAGTAAAACATGCACAATCTAGTTATTTCTCTCAGTTAATTGCTGATAATGTGAATAGACCAAAAGCTTTGTTTAATATGATTGATTCTCTTTTAAACCCAACTATGAATTTATTATCTGAGTCCTCCTCGGAGCTTTGTGAGGATTTTTTAAACTATTTTACTAAAAAAATTGATGCTATCAGAACCTCCATTGCTCCTTCTGAACCACTTCATTTGCAGTTGCCTTGTACCACAAGTTGTTTGTCGTCCTTTCAACCTGTTTTATCACATCAGCTAGATGATATTGTCTCTACTATGAAGTGTTCTGGTTCTAAGTAAGATATTATTCCTGCACGACTTTTTAAGGATGTCTTCCTGACTATTAGTCCTATTGTAACCGCTATAGTGAACAGCTCTTTAGCGGTTAC